TTACATGAAGTTCACTTCGTCAAGGAGATATCATCTTGGTCTTGCATCATTGCACAAATAATTCCAGAATGATTACTTCATTTACCTTTGAAGGAAACTTACATGTGGATCATAATGCTATAAAATTCTAGGTGTTAATTTTCAGCAAACCAATTGAATTCCTCTCTTGACAGCAATTTGAATTTTGATACCGCGTAAACTTGGTTGTGAGTAACTTTATCTTTACCTTGCCCTAGATTTGACAGCATAAGGTGCTACATCAAATGTGTGGCTATCACTATAACCCACAATGTATGAAATTTTAAATCCAATTTAACTCCTTATAGTGTAAGCAACCTGAAAAGTCAGTTACACATTGATCCTATGATGGCTATAATTAATGATTTTTTTTGTGGGAAACTTATCTTCCATTTGTTAATTTTATAGACCCAGGTGGTATGCAAAAGTCACATTATAAGTGAAGAGCGCTAAAGACCATACATTTGCCAGTAAGCTAACAATACTAGATCTATAAATTTTCAGACATTTCTCTCAATGAGACAGTTAAATCTATCCAGGCTTTTGAATGCAATATGCCACATTTTCTACCACTGGAATCACCATTTTTAGCAGAGATGGGGAGAGAGTTTTTTTNAAATAAAAGAAATCTTAAACTTTCTTGAGATGTACAGTTCATATTATGATTTAATAACTTGTAATAACAAAAATGAGCAAGCTTTACTTTACGAATAGGTACAATAAACAGAATTGCTGTGAGAGATAATACTGTAGCACTGAAGCAATCACTGATTGTGCAGCTGAGGTTTTTTGTACATAAAATATAAAGTATCCTGTGTGTTAAATAATGATACTATTATACTATTATTTAGAGCAGTATATGTTGCCTCAGTCATAATAACTGATTCTTTCAGCTCATTCAGGGTTTCAGTAAAAGTGTTATTTTACCTTTCATTGCTTAGTTGAAGAGTCAAAATTAACTAGAACTTTAGAGAAGCAAAATATTCCAACACAGATTTCTGTTTGAAAAATTTTGCGTGACTATTGTCTGTTTTTACAGTGTACGTTCCTATCCAGTATATATGTGATGTATTTGATTTAGAAAGATTCACCTCATTTTCTATTTCTTTTAATCAAAAATATGTTTAATGGAAGTGTATTTTTAAATAACACGTATTGTTTTATATTTGTCTAATTTGAAGCCTTGTATTTGCAGTAATGTTTATGAATTATGCCTCAGATACTTTTCCAAGAATTAGATTTTTTAACCACCTATTTATTAGTTTATAAAAGTAAAACCTCCTTTTCTTCTTGACCTTATGATTGAAAAGATGTCTTCACATATGAATTGCTGTGGACAAAACAACAAATTTGAGTACCATTGTGTTTGTGCATTAATTTAGCTGACCAGTAAGTAATTGGATGTAATAGGCAGCAAGAAAGAATGAATGGAGTATGGAGAGGTTATGTCTACAAAGAACAAGGTTCACTAGGCTGTTAACCTTTAGCTGCCCAGTGCTACCTGTGGTTTGAGTGTCCTGCTGAGACCAGGCCATTTTGGGTAGGCTTTGTTAAACAATAAGAAATTACGATCACTTATTATTCATTAGAACGATCCGCCTGGTAGATTTATCCCCATTAACAAAATCATGTTCAAATGTCTCCAAGTACTTCGTAGGGATTTCTCCAAAGTGATGCATCTGTAGGGCAACATTTTTTTTATTTTGTGGATTATTGCCCAAGACACCAGGAGAACCTCCCTTTTTAATAGTGTTGTGGTATCTTTGATGCCCGTCTGAATAAGCAGATGGGCCCTCAGTTTAATGTCTCATTCTATGACTTTCCAGCACTGTATTGGAATGTCTGCCTGCACCAATAAGCTGCAGAAGGTAGTCAACTGGAAAAAAATGTGTTTGCAGTTGAAAATACGAGTTATCATTTTTTTTGTATTTTCTGACTTTCATAATGGTACCTCACTATATATACATATACTATATATTGTGGGGTTTTGATTTTAACGGGGTGGGGGGAAGGTATTTGTTTAGTTTTCCAATTTGCTCCATTTGGGGAAATAATTCTCTTCATTAAACCTTTCAAAAAATGTTATGTTTTGAATTACTAAAATTACTGAATTCTGGGTTGTAAGATCACTATGAATTGAAAAAAATTCCAAAATCTTAAAAAGTAATATAGGCATCCATTATCTATCAAAAATTTACAAAAGAAACCTTGAAAACTAGCAACTCTCAATGTAGTGTTGTCTCTGGTATCAGAGTAACATTCCCTTTACCGGTAGAGTAGGAGTAGTTTGCATCGTAAATTTAAATGTTGCTCCATGTTGGGTGACCAAAGTTATACTTTTCAAACTGTCCTGCTGAAGGAGTGCTCCCTCTAGTGTAGGTTTTATGATTTGACGGCTAAGGCTCTGAACTGTACAGAATGTTGTAAAGAACATAAGTGGAATATAATGAGTGAACTATAAACCTACTCAAATATGTACCAGTCAACCATATGCAGTTTAGGATAAAACAAGTTGCATTTATATAGTGCCTTTCGAGTCAGAAGGATGTCCTAAGGCACTGGACAATCGGGTTTGCACCTGAATTGAGGATTGAAGTTGGGAGGAGCGGGGCCAGTGGGGGTGGTGTGGTAGGGTGCAGTGAAAAAGGAAGGTCTTGACAGACCTTGAAGAAGGCGAGGGAAGGGGGGACATAGCAATGGGTCTCTGGAATGGAATTCCTTCGTCTGAACTGGGTTCCAAGAAACCCAGACTCTTTTACAAAAAGAGTCCCTGACCCTTGATGCAGTATTCAGAAGATGGTAGAATGAAATGGCCCGAGGGGCGTCTTTATTTGTACCTTTTTGATGATTTTTGAATTTTAAGACCATGATCTTAAAAGATAGACTATGAGAAATTCGGGTTTCTAGTGAAGACTGGATTGTCTGATAATCTGCCAATGTTACTGTTTGTTTGGGTTTACATGTAAAGAAGGGCCACTTGAGTAAAGTATCAGAGAGATGTATATTTGCTCTCATTAAATCACATGCCATCATAAGGTAACACCAGGAGAATATATGAGAAAGTTGAAGGAGAAAAAATCTCTAACTTACCAAGAATGCAGTTTTTAAAAAATGAAATTTAGATTTATTTTATGTCTATTTGTAAAATATATGGGTAATTCATTAAAATTGTGAATTCAATGAGAATGTGCAATGTGAAGCAATAGCTAGAGGGAAGAAAACTACTTCTGATAACAATATTTTGTTGGTTTTAGGGATTTCTTCTCAGTCCCGATTCATATTATTGATTCACTGACGTTAGATTTTTATGCAGCTAACTGCTTTAAAATTGTCTTTGGGATGTTGTTCTTATCAGGCATATGTTTTGTTGCTTGTGTTTGATTGTTTTTTTTAATGAATGGATATGTATCCATTTTCAGCATTGAATACTTTGTTAAAAGTTGTTTTAAGACATTGTTGAACATATTAATTTAACATTTTCAAATTGTGCACACTACATTTATATCATGGCATGATTTCTTTATATCAACAAATTGTATATCTTTGTCCATGTTTTCAAGTTAATTCCTCTGTTTAGATGACTACGAGTTGTACATTTTCCTCACCTGAAACCCGACTTCTGCAACATTTCTCTCAAGCAGTACACTTGGAGGTGTGTGGCAATGATGACTGCTTCTCATATTAGTATTTATTTCCTTCTTTCTCCCCGTGGATGCTCTGAAGCATTCTATTGGCATGGCTGACACTGGAAACTTATCAAATGGAAAATCACAGGCATCTCTGCCACATTGTGCCTCGGCTGGACTTGGGAGGATTAAAACAACTACTGATCACGCGCATTTATGTTAAATTGATTCAAGTGGTTACAATACTGACATTGTTATGACCAATTGGTTAAAATATTAACATTGTATGATCATCGTTAATTTTCAATGAAATGTGATTCATTAAAATTTAGAATTAATATCATTTGTATTAGTTTCCATAATGCAAATAATATTGCCTAACAGATGTTTTTTTTTATCTGGCGTGAAACTATGTCAAATCTTTTTATCCAGTCTCATGAATGAAACTATGCTCTGTTCTTGTTTATCAGCCGATGTCCACATTTGGGCTGGCCACTTGTGTGATGTAACAAGAGAAAGATGTTTTTCATATCACCAGCCTGGCACAGAAACAACATTTTAAGAAGAACCATAATCACACCAAGACTTTGCTTCTAGGAAACGTACTTCAGCAGCATCAAATCTCTTCCAAACCACACACAACGGGTGGAACCACAAAGGAGCGAGCTTTAACTGAATCCAGGTCCCTACTGAGAATTGCTGGAACTAAATGATTTACCGTTTTATTTTTAGGTTTGCTGACATGGGTAATCTGATTAAGGTGCTAACCAGGGACATAGACCACAATGCTTCACATTTTTTCTTGGATTTTGAAAGTAAGTTTGACCCTTCACAGCTGGTGTATACAAGATATGAGTATGTTCTGTCTCACCAGAGTGAAGGCCAGTGCAGGTATTACAAACGCACGTAAGAGCAAGATCATTTCACTTAGCAATGGTTGCATGATCTCTTCATTATGGCTGCAAAGTTCATCCCACACTTTCATTTTTAAATTCTTTTGAAAAGCTTTTTAATTTTTTTCATTCACTGATCCTGGGGCCCTTTTGGCCAATGTAGCTGTTAGTATGCTGCAAACCATTTTAACTACTTCAGCTCCTTTGTGCCTCCGGGAATGGGAATAGCCGTTAGTGACAGCTGGCACATGTCGCCACTTAGTACAACCAAGAAAACCACGCAGCTTTTCTAGTTTAAACAGTTGGCACAGCTGGTAACGTGCTTTACCTTTTAGGTGATATAAAGTGTGTGAACTGACTGGGCTCCCATCACATGCCTTGCAATCCCTTAAAGGTTTTTTTTGTACAATTTGGGCTGTTCTGCATTTAAGGGGAATTTTTTTCTTCCTTCTTGTCTTGGCAGGTACCTTAACATGGGGAACCTTCTTAAAGTTTTGACTTGCACAGATCTTGAGCAGGGGCCAAATTTTTTCCTTGACTTTGAAAGTGAGAATGCTCTTTTTTTAAAATATTTTTCTGCCTGCAGTAGACTGCACCTGTTTTATGTTGCATTTGTGTTTGAAGCATGCTTAAATTGCTTTGCATGGTTGAGCTACAAGAATCGGCAATTTTTTTATCTGTTTCAATCTGAAGCCATTCACTAAATTCTTATAAAACCATTATGGACATTGATGCATTAAATAAGAGATATGAACTCAGATGGGGGTGACTGGTGCATGTGGATGAATAAGACATTTAATCATACGTGTATATACTTAAATTTTTCACCAAATTGTTTGATTTGGATTTTTTTGACGTCTTAACATGTTATTCATTGCATAATTTCTGTATTTTGGTAATGCATTGAATGTTTTGGTATATATTTGTAAATTACTATTGATCAATTCAGTTAATTGCAGAATTTTTCAAACCTACATAATAGACGGGTGAGATTGTACTTTACCCAAATTTTTACGTCTTCCATGCAGGGTAACTTGACATAAAAAATGCACCATATCACATTTGTTTTGATAAAGTAAACCATACCGTATTGTTCAGTCACTTCAATCTGCATTTATTTTTCCATTTTGAACTAGTTTGGCTTGTGCAGTTTACAACTGCAGCTGCATGGTATCTGACTTGCAAAAGTCAATAATGCATGTGGTATAATGATCTGAAGTAAGCTGCTTTGCATAACATCTTTGTTGCTTCCTTTTATTGTTGTACACTGATGTTTCTGAGCACGAGGTGTATATCATTGCTTTATTTGCATGTTGAATGGATCTGCTTTAGAACATTACTGGATAAAATGCATTTTTGCAAAATGTAAATTAGAATTGTTGCAAAATGGTATTTTAGCACAAGGCACCATACAGTACTCTATTTCCCTCTTTATCAATGTGTCTTACCTGTCTTAGGCTATGTTTAACTGGTAGTTGCAGCTTTTTCTATAATTTCAGTCCTAGAGCTGCTCTACTGAGTTGCATTTTGTGAAGGGTAGGATCTACTCTACCTGGATTGACCAGAATAAATGTTTTGCTGCCACAAAATACATTAGTGCTGATAGCTGTAGTCCAATTAGGAAGTTGTGAATGGCAGGCACTGATATCTAACCTCCCACTGTTTTCTAAAATGAGCTGGATATTCACAAAACGGTATATAAATAGATGAACTAAAAAAGAAAAAATAATTTACAGGGACTACCATTTTGCCTCGTCTCTATTGTGTGAACCTGAAGAAAATTGGTTAAAAAACTGGGCACACTGTAGTTCACACATATTAGTGCCCAATGTAATGGGTCAACAAATTGTTTTCTCTCTTTAACTAATGAAACATTCTTCAGTGGAGGAGTGTATCATACTTTAATTGGTAATGCAATAGAAAAAAATGTAGCTGGCCAGTATAGTGGCATTACACCTAATCTTTAGCTGCATGGTGCCTTTATTTTACTATCTCTGTTCCTCTGAAAGTTTAGAATGTGGTATCTTGTAAACTACTATTGCTACAATGCACGTGTTTGTCTGTTTTTGTGTGCACCATCTTTCTTTTATACATTTAGGACTGGGCATGAAAAANGTGCACCTTTGCTTAAATTATAAATATGTGTGTATTGATTGACATCAGCGGGCTTGATTTTCCACCCATTTGTTGGTGCTGTATTTTATACTAGCAGAAAACTACACTGGTCGTATTTTCTAATATTACCCTTTTGACAGTAGCCACCAAATTTAAATATGTTAATGTTTACCCAGGGTACTTAAAGTGCTGTGGCAGCCATTTAGTGCAGTGGGTAGAAAATCTGGTAAGTTATGGTGCTTTTTCTTTGTCCTAGCACCCCTTCCCAATTAATTTCTATGAGAATGCACAGCTAAAGTTGTCCCACCGGGATAGATCTCCAGTTTTTAAACTGAGGGAGCCCCAAGCATAAATACTTTGGAAGGGAGAACACCAGTCTAGTTTATTGCTTCATCACTATCTGTAGTTGTATATCTTTCCTTGAACTTTGGCAGTAATATGCTGATACTGGAGTGGGATACATAGCCTTGATATTATACCCTCTTCTATTGCCAGCAGGTTAAATATTATACTTAACACCATAATTAAATGCAGCCCATAGTTTGTTATTGATGTTATTGACGTTGTCAGTTTCAAACCTGCAAATGGGATTAATTGTGGCTTTAAAATGGAGTTTAGTCCACACAAAGAACAAAATGCTAAGATAGTAACTATTTTAGGAGATAACATTTTACTGTTATATCTCCCCGGTTTTAAATTTAACTTATCCCTTTTTCTAGTGTTTAAAATTCCCAATGGGTAAAATTCACTAGAATGTTTGCTTTATCCAAAACATCCCTTTCCATATAAAAGATAAATATCAAAATTGGAAAACGCACTTGCTAGCAAATCGAAAAACAGCGTCATGAAAACTTGGTGGGGGTTGATAGATTCATCTCATCCCTAAGTAAATTCCTTAAGTTTTACAGTGATTATGTGTTGTCCAAGTGTTTGTGAACAAGGGCTATTTGCCATTCTTCAGTAGGTGGGGCTGGCTCATAAATTTACTGAGTATGCACTGTGTAAGAAAGATATTTTTCACATATTAACTACTGAATAGAGAAGAGGAGCCAATGTCCACAACACTGTAGAAATCTTTTGCTCATACCCAGTGGATATGAGAAAGCTCCATTTACTTATTTTTGTGCTTGCAATAGATTGAAGCCTCGCTATGCAATTGTGGTTATGAATGCCTCTAGCCTTTCTGCATGCTAATTGTATATACAACTATAGATGCTTTGTGCAATTATTTTTATTTACAGTAAACCTGAAAACATACATATTTGCATTTTATACAGTAGATCAAAGCAGTATGCATGCTTCTCTTGTTTCTGCAGTAAACTAGTGTGGGTGTGTATGTGCTGCTACTTGGTGTTCTGTGTGCATTTATTTTGCAGTCTTCAGCAGTATTTCTGATAAGATATTTTCAGTGAAGATGTCAAAGACTGTTGATTATTCTGATATGTACTTCATTATAATATTCACAACTCTTTTTGACGACGTTTGTCACAGCACTGAAACATGTTATGAGACCTGCTGTTTCAAAGCAGCTAACTTGCCCTCCCCCACATAATTTACTAAATGCAAGCCAGTTGTTACTAACATTGGTCAGCGTTCTTGTTGTTGGCTGTTCTTGTTTTTCCCCACTTGTGTGACTTGTGTCCTTCTGTCTGCATTGTTAAGTTGTTATAATACATTACAGGTGAATGCATTTATATATAATCTCTGAACTGTGGGTTTATAAACGTTCTTTAATTATTTTAAACTTTTACAATTTTATTCTGTGTAATGTGGTATCCTTAAAACTGATTATAATTATATCAGTATGCCAATTTACAAATGTAATGACTAAGCATTGTTGGCCTATTTGAATGGATTTAAATGTTTGATTCTGGGGTCTTCTGCATAAAATGATAAATTATTTAAAGCTTTTCATAAGAATATTTTTCACAGCAACATCAGGTACACAGGTAAACCCTGCATTAGTTGTATTTGAATATAAAAACAGGAGCTTTTGCTGTTCCAGTAGAGCACATCGTTCAAAAGAGCTGATTATGAATGTTATAAAGAACAGCTATGAATTGTGTAATCACCCTTCATAAAGTTTGAACCAATTTTTAAGCCACTAGAGCATTGACATTGTACCCAACATTTAATTTTCTCAAAGTGAACATTAATTTTGTTTTCATAGACGCAGTGTATTTTTTTATTTGATTTCCATTTGGCAGCATGAAGATGGCAAATAACATAGCTGTGCTTGCATGTATTCTGTAGTATAGAGCAGCTTTAATTTCAAGTGGTGATTATTTTAAATTAATTGAACTGCCTATAGCCATGGTAATCTGGGATGTAACATCATTGATGCCATCATAATTTCAGCATTATATTGATTAAATTTGAACATAAAAGTAACAGTGCTAACTACAATCTCAATTAAAGATAATTAATGGTATGTATTGCAAAGAACCAGTGGTGTAGTAGAAAAGTCAACAATTAAAGAGGCAACACACTGAACTTATTTTTTTTAAATGTATGGGTAGTAAACAGATCAGCCCAACTGTTTAAAAAAAAGTTTGCATTTTACTTGCATTTGTCCTGATATGTTTTCTCAGCAGAGATCAATTTCAGCAATAGATGGTACTATTGACCTTTACTGTTAGCTCATGCACGCTCTTCAATCATAACCTGGTGTAGGCCTAAAGAGCAGACATAGACAGCATAAATATACAAGTTGCACGTGATCCCGATCTTTCACACAAAAGCTCAAACTCTTTCAGACTGAATTGTGTTGCCATTCTTTTTAACTTTTTTATTTACTTTCTTTCTCTCCTGAAGGCATAGACACATGCTGGGTTGTGGTTCAATTAATAATGATCACACTTCAATACATTGCCATTTATGACCCTAGAAATGCATGTTGTTAGGCAGTTTGACCATGGGGTTCAGGAATCAAAAGCTTGTCATCACTTGACACGTGCATCGTTTTTTTTAAAAAAAAAACTGGGAGGGGCAAAAGAGAGTCACTAGCCCATTATCAGTGATGGTAACCTTGACTGACATTTTTCTACCTGCTCCTAAATCCAGATTTATAGTCTGTTGTTGAGTTCCTTTACTACAATGGAATAGGAGTTTGAAAGGAAAATATTTTATATAGATCTCAACAGTGATAGTTTATTGTGCCCAAATCTTCCACCCGACAAGCCTACACATCCTTCAAATATTTTCCACCATTTATGACATGATTCCAGCAGTAGATAAGTCCTCTACAATTTTTTCTTTTATCTCTACTCCAATGGAGAGGATTCCTGCCCCCAGAATGTCAAAGTGCCATTAAGTTCATAAAAATATTCTCCAGTGCACTGTTGGTGGCAGACCAGTCAGCCTAGCTCATCGGCAGGACATAGATGGGAAAGACACTAGAATAGGGATTTTTCTCACTTTGTTCCTGTTAACCCTGCAGGATTACAGGTTAAACTCTAGTGATACCCCAGTACACACTCTGGCTCTTGCCAAACTGTGCCTATTCCTCTGGAATTAGGTGAGCAGTGTGTATCCCTCTAGAGAAAGAGAGTGCACATTCCATTCCAGCCAGTGGGAAATATCCATATGTAAGTGGCATATGAATGTGAAATTCCGTCTGGTTTTAATACTCTTAACAAAAATCGTAAGATTGCTCCCTTGACCAGTTATGAGTATCTAGTTCCACAGATGGGGAAAATCATTTGGCTTCTGGATCCCAGAAATCTCAAAATATCAGTTAAAAATCAGCCCAAACTTCAGATTCAACTACCTGTCTTCTGTTCATCAGAGTCACTGGCTGAGTAACTGGGAACCCTAGGATATAGAATTGCTTCCACTAAAGTGTTACTCAAACAGTTGTCTCAGCTACTGAAACCATGTCAATCTCAGAAAACCCAATGCTTAGCTGTAGCCAGAAATGATTACATTCTGTCAGTAGCAATTGTCTAAAAAGTGTTGGAGGAATGTGTTGACCAAATAATTACCTTCAAGGGATAAAAAGAATCTCTGGAGATCTGAAGATATTGGTGCAGTTTACAAACTCTGCTATTGTGAAAATGTACTGTAAATGAGTGAGCACACTTACAAGTATTGCATTGGTAGAGGCAGAGAACTGCTGGGCTGCAGCCCCTTTCCCCTTCAGTAGCAGTCAAGGTTACCAATGATGCTCACACAGGCCTGGGAATCTAGCATAGTCGAGCCTAAGCCTAGGCAATGTGGAATTTTTGCATCAGCATACATGATTTCAGAGCAGTTTGCTTGGCTGTGAACCACTTCAGAGATCAATTCTATCTGGCTATCTATTTCTATATAGACTTAAGGACTACTTTGCAGAGCAGTTTGCTTGGCTGTGAACTACTTCAGAGAGCAATTCTATGTGGCTATCTATTTCTGTATAGACTTTAGGACTACTTTGCAGAACAGTTCAGAATCATTGTCATATTAAGGTATTACTTCATGCAGCGTGCACAGTATCTGCAGAAATTACTATTTTCAGATGTGTGAGGTTTTTTTTTGTGCACCACCTCTTACATAAATGTAGATGCTCTCGTGGCAGAAGATTGGTACTTCCAATATTCCATAGGTCCTTTAGTTTGTTTCCCTCTGCCTTGACCCCCCCTTCTTGCTCTTGAAAAAAAGTTCCCCAGACCAGTGAAATTTTGAAACCTTACAGCTCTAGTGATGTGAGGCAAGCTCCTCAATGCATTGCTGCACAAAATGAAGGAATAGAATCAAATGTTAAAAGCAACAAGTAAGTAGCAAAATATCTGAAAAATCACCCTAACCACTTAAAAAAGACTAAAGTTTGTGTATACTGAAAGTAACTACTGAGTGGCGGAAAAAGTCAAAACGGGTTTAACAGTTGCAAGCTCCAGATTTATCAAACGTTTAACATGTTGTGTCATTATGAGATTTAAAGTCATATAAAAATAACTTTGGCAGTAGCATCCAATTTAGAATCACACATCAGGCAATATTTTTTCCAGCAATGGTTACAATATTTTCAAGAGTTTATCATTTGCTTACACTACAATGCACCAAAGCATTTTTTGAGTTGGAATGCACCTGCTGGTTAGAAATGTCTTGGCATTCCCTTAGTTTATTAATTCCTCTTTTTAAACCTGCTTTTTGAAGAGCACTTAGTGATCAAATATCTTTTGGTCGATCTTAAAAAAACAAGTATATGTAGCACATGCCTAAGATAGACCCTTTCACCTTCGCATTATTCACACAGTTCTATTGTAAAGCAGATTTTGCAATCATAAAATATCATATTTGAAAATGACGTGCACATACATTCTATAATGTATGTTTTTATATGACCTTACTAAATTGATATTTGTATATGCTTACTGATGCATAGTTTTTAATGAGCTGTGTTTACTAACTTGCTATGTTGAAGTATGTTGATTTCAAATATTTATGTACCATTGTCCAGATGCACAACCTACTGAAGCTGAAAGAGAAGTATTTAATCAAGTGAATGTTGTGCTAAAGGATGCAGAAGGAATTCTAGATGATCTACAGTCATACAGAGGGGCAGGACATGAAATCAGAGAGGTATTTATTTTGAAACATTTACTTTCCTCATCAGTAAGTAAAATAAGAAAATAAGAATTTGCTAGATGAAACAAGACCAAGGTCCATCCAGTTTGCCTTCCACCATCCTGGCAGTTGCATGACATGTCATGTCCCGAGCTATACATTGTATCCCGAGATATTGTTTCCTCAAAATAAATCTATCTAATTTGTTCTTGAAAGAATCAATACTTTCTGCTTCCACTGTCTCCCCAGGAATAAACAGGATCAATTTATCAACTGCTATTTGAAGATCCCAGTAAAAGAAAATTGTACTAAAATCTGGAGGAATTTACACTTTTAGTTCATATGTCCTATTTTGAAAGGCTGAACCGAGGCAAATGTGCAATCACGAGCCAGATACGGAGTCAGCCGCCATGTATTTTCACTAACAGTGGTAGGGGATAGCAGTGGACAAATCATTCCCAGCCATTCTTTGAATCTCATACCAGATCATTTTTTGAACCAGCTAATCATTTAGAGCAGTAATGGTCAACATTTATGGTCTGCCAACAAAATAAATTTTCTTGATTTATGCCATAAATGGAATAGTGCGAATGTTAGGTGGTCATTGGTTGGCTCCCACTGATTTAGAGAATTATTTGCCTTTCTCAATGCATTTTGCAGTATTTTCGAAAGAGATTACAAGTTAGTAACAGATAAGAGGCAGTCAAATATGTTATTTGAACCCTGTCATTAATCCAGAATCAATTACCTTATTCATGGAAATGTGAATCTATGTTCAGTCCTACCTTGGATCTTTTTAGAGAGATAGACAATTTTTAGACAATGAGATTGACCTGGGCGCAGGTCACGCAGGAACAAGAAACATTACAAAGTAGTGTAGAAATACTGTATTGAGTAGAGAATGACACCCTTCAGCCCTTTGTGCTACCACATAACATGATGTAAAATAAGTTATGACAATGCCATTAAAGTGAAAGTGTGTGTGTATCCATGGTTGATTTCTGTTTTTTTAGTAAATTCAAACATTCCTGGTTGAATTGTCAAGAACACTGGAAACCCTTGTAATATATTGGTATACAACAATAAATAATGAATTAGTCTAATTTCTGCTTAAGTTTGTTGTGGAATATGTAATGTCTTTGTTCAGCCTAAAATAAATGATCATTCTTTATTTTAAAGGCAATACAACACCCAAATGATGAGAACTTGCAAGAAAAAGCATGGAGTGCAGTGTGTCCATTAGTAGGAAAACTAAAAAAATTCTACGAATTCTCCCAAAGATTAGGTATTTATCTTTTCTTTGTGTTACAAATCGAATATGTTTAAACATTTTGATTTTCTGAAAAAATCATTTTTAGTTACTTGCAGAATGGGACTTATTATGTTAAGAATAATGATTTAGACATGCTGTGCTTTGGATATAGATATGATGTGGACTGTGGAGTCCTGTAGCTCAGTGGTTAGAGCACTCGCTTTGCAAGCGAGAGATCTGAGTTCAATTCCAGGCAGGGCGAAACCTTGGGCAAGTTTCCTTACTCCACACACCTAATAATAATCCCTCCAAAACCAAAAACAATAATAAAATTGGCAATTTCAATCTACGACTGTTTGTGGGACATTGCTGTACGCAATTGGCTGCCGCGTTCGCCCACAAATTTACAGTCAATTCACTTTACAGTGTGTTCTGTGAAGCGCTTTGGGACGTCCTTCCGACGTGAAAAGCGCTATATCAAATGCAAGGATTATTATGATGTGAGGAGAAAATTGCTCTAAAGTCTGGGAAGGGGAGATAATGAACAAACACCTTGGCTTATAAATGGCTGAGCTTAATTGTACCAGGATTAGTGCATTGATATTTTTCTGTTTTGACTGAATTGATTAAGCCGTGTATAATCTTTCTTTCAAAATCAACTATTCATGCATCTTTTTAATTTACGTATATATTTGCACAAGTATGTCAGCTGTCATTTGTTACACTTAAGTGAAGCTGACAATGCTCCAGGTTTTCCACATGAAATAATAGTAATGTTGCAGTAAAATAGTATTTCAAATGACTGAGCGAATTAATCAGTTTTCAATAAATCATTCAGCTAAGATAAATGAGTTAGGCCTCAGTGCCAAAGTATGAATGAGCCAAATCAAAATTGTGCATGAGTTAAGTTTGTTTTCACTACAGTACAATTAGTTGTTCTTTGCTGCTGCTTTTCAGACTCCTGTCAACTACTTTGTAGTAGTGCTGACTTTGCCCTTCCTTTCATGGCTGTGTGGCTTTACAATTCTAACCATATTGTAATACTTTCATTGAAATGTACTTTGTAGTCCAGTTGGCTGGACTGCTAGTATGTTTAATGTGACCGAGCATGGTGCTCTGGTTGACTGATTTAACCTTTTAACCTCACTGAAGCAAATGGAAGCATTTATGTCCTATTGTAGATATTTCAACTACATGTTTTACAGTGTTTTTTTAAAAGGTATTTCATCATATTTGTTCAACGCCATTTAGTATCAAATGTTGAACTGATGCCAGAATTCTCTACTTTTTTTGTTTAGGTTGAAATGTATTACTCTAGTTTTATTTCCCATGCCAATAAAAACGGAATTTCTGTTTAATTAAATTATTGTTTATATGCCAGTATTTGTAGCATCTCACTATTTTATAAGGTGTGGAGACTGCAAAGGGTAAGATATCAATCTTTTATGTTTGTGAATAATGCAACAAATATTATTGCATTATTCATTGAGTTACTTACGTATGCGCACCCTGTATATACTGGCATTAGTTTCCATGCTTTAGAAGCTGATTGGTTTACAGAAGTATGAGGAAAGATGTGTTTCTAATAATTGAAACATGCTGGCCTAAATTATGCCATTTATTGATGCTTCAAAAAGCTGGTCAGCACTATACTTGTTCAACAAAGGATGAGCATACAGTATATCTGTTAGGTGGCACTGATGGTTCAATTTTGCAACTACAAAACTAAAGCATCACAAACAATTTTCCAAGCTTATAACATTCAGACAATTCTGGTTTGTGTTAGAACTTTGAAATTAATGACATTTAATGATATTCAAAATTTGATATCTGTTATTGAATATTAAATACAGCTCCTGGAACCTAGAACCGATAATGTACAAAATTTTACCGTGGCTTATGAATATCTTAAGTAATGATTACGTTTTTGTCACACTTCAGTGCTATTGTGTGGCAGCTGAACAGCTTGCTACAGCACTATGAAGTCCTGGTGCATTTCATTATTTTATTTGTTATGGAACGAGAGATCAAAAAATCATTATTATTTAAGTATGTTTATGATATATAGGAGTCGGAAATGTGATATTTGCAAACTGGATTGAAATCGCTAATTGTGTCTTGTGTTTGAGAATTGCAAAACAGCAAATTGCAAATCCCGAGCCGGAAAAGTCCAAAAAAAATTGTTGCTGAGCCTCGCTATTTCTTACTGCTGTTCTGCTTACCAGCTTTCATTTGGACTTTCGATGGCTTACAATCCTTGTGTTTGTGAATCTCGCTAACTAGGAGTTGCACTAAGTGACTCAATTTCAGTGTATCAGTATTGCATTTCAACCCCATGGTGTCTTCCCTTTGCAACAAAAAATAATTGTAGAGTACACAGTTCTGAAAAAGAAATTTACACAGTGCATCTCCACAGGTGTTCATAAATCACTGGTAAGGTTTCATTGCTCTTAGCCTCTCTTGTTCCTTCAACAAAACAAACATAGAATCTGAGTTTTTTCAGAGCTGCTGAAAAGCATTTGCATGAAGTGCAGTCAGAAAAAGTTCAATTTGTCTGCTTGTTTCTGCAACTGATGGATGGTGTGAAATCAGCCATTTCCTGTTAGAGTTGTGAGCGAAGTATAAATGCAATATATATTAAATACATGTCATAAACAAACAAGTTACACACACATTCAATTACCATCTTTATGTAGAATTTTCATAATTTACATAACCTTTGGTAAAATATCCATTTTAAAACTGTGACGTTCCATGTTTGATGTAAACACGGTGATTGATTTAGTCAGTATAACTCTTGTTTTAGACTTGCTTCATTTATTTAATATACTTTTCTATTTTATCATTGACTTAGAATTTTGGCAGCAGGAAATGGTCTAATTGTATTCCATTCACCCTTTGTTGGTATGTGCTCCTGTGCTTCCCCCGATGAATAAAAACAAAATATAATACAGAACATCCTTCATAAATATAATCTGGTGATTTATGTGTATTGCTTTGAAATTAGACGATCCAAACTACACCATTTAGAAATATTGTGAAATAAAGTCTGGAAACAAATTTATGCAGCTGTGAAATAAATTTTGGAGAAAAAATTGAAGACACAGTGAGGGAGGTGCTCCTAATTCATGTATTAGAAATGAATAATAAAAGACTATGTAATCCATTATATGTAGATTAATTGCCTGGAGTGAATTACGGAGGTGAACATAATCCTGAGTTGATTTGGGTCCTTTATGCACATGATTGCCAAAGCCACAAATGCACAGATGAGCCTTGCGATACAGAAACTGAGAGCAAATTTGTAATTCATCCCCTGCCGATCCATTGTTTTGTGTAAAGTATGCATAATGTGATATTTTGCCCTCACTTCTATTCTTGAAGCTTGAGTCAGGAGAGAACAAAGAACATACATTTATTTTTGATAAATTATACTCAGTACTACAATAGGATTGAGCACTGATAAAATAGTTATCTTCTGGCACTGTCCCTCTGCTTTCAAAACCACCGTCATTACCTCCCTCTCAAAATCGTACCCTCAATCCTTCTAAAATCTACAATTAATACCCTATCACCAACCTGTTTTTCATATCCAAAGTTCTGGAAAGTGTCAATTTTGCTCCCATCTTTCCTCTACTCTCTGTCCAAGACCTCCAATCTGGCTTCCACCCTGCCCACACCAATGAGATACTCATTAAAATCACCAATGACATGCTCTCCCTTCTTGTCCTCTTAAACCTCTCTGTTCTTTTGATATTGTTGACCACTCCATCCTCTTTGAATCCTCTGATTCCATCCCCTGCCGCCTCCATACCACCATTGTTGACTGAGCATTCAGCAGCTGCACCCCTACCTTTTGGGATACCCTCATTCTCTCCTCTGTCTAGCCTCATCTCGATCCATTTTTAAATCCTGCCTAAAAAGTTACCTCTTCAACCGCGCGTACAGTCGCCTCCCCCTGCTCCAATGCTCAATATCCGACAGTCACTGCGAAATGCTGCTCAGACACTATCCTACATAAAAGGTGCTCTATAAATGTAAGTTGTTGTGAGCACAAGCATTTCATTTATTTAAATTACCAATTCCAAATTTAGAAGTTATATATTCTTAAATTATTAGTATAGGAGGAATAAATAGAAATTATTAAGTATCTAATTTTGAAGTTGCTCGAAATTGGAATTCTCGACTTCAACACTACTTGTTCAACTAAGGCAGCAGGATGAAAGGAAACGGGTTCAGGGTTGTTGAGGGCATTTATAAGACAAAAGTGTATATTTACACAGAGGGAAATCAACAGCAGAAATAGGTTACCAGGAAGGCTAATCAAGGATAGGAAACTGGACTCATTTCAGCAATTGCTTGTCGCCACCTTCAACTGGACCTTTTATGTAATTTTGTGAAGAACCTCCTCAGTACTCATTGGATTGCAGAATTCAAATAATTTTGTTTATTAATGTAAGGTAAAATAAACTTTGCTTGTATATGACAGAAGCCGCTTTGCACGGGCTCTTGGGAGCACTGACCAGCACTCCACACAGTCCTACACAGCATCTTGAACGAGAGCAGGCTCTTGCCAAACAGTTTGCTGAGATCCTTCATTTCACTCTACGATTTGATGAACTAAAGGTAAGTAAAAGCATATCTAGAGTGGCATGTTGATGTTCACCTTTGGGGATTTGGCAGGTGGGTAGAGTGAGGGCTTAGGGGTGGGGGTGTTGGGAGAGAAGAGGGGAAAATTAGATGTGGATTATCATTAGGCACTCTTAAAAATATTTTAAATATTTAAGAAAATGTTTGTGCTGTCAGGTTAAGTAGCTGCTTTACACTTCAACGACAGCTTATTCTCAATTTACATGGTAGCATGCACTTTGAATAATCTAAACGATTTTCTACAATTAGCAATTATGTTGCCCACTAACTGGTTGGTGACTAAAAGGAGGAAGGGAAGATGCATTTTTTAATTGGCAATTCCCCTGCTGAGATTTTTTCAGGCTGCATTGTTAGTTGTCTTAGTTACATCCAAGACTACTATGCAATATTGCCACTGTAAATGTTTCATTCTGCAGTTTTGTCACACTATCGAAACTGGAAAAGCAAGCATAAATAAGTGTGGGGTGGCAGAGAAAGGAAAGATTGTAAAATGTTGTATGCATAACAACAGCAACAACAACAAAGTTGCATTTGTATAGCGCCTTTCACGTCGGGAGGACGTACACCTAATGAAATTCAATACCAATAATTACTGGAAACTGGAAATATTCCCTACAACTAGTGGATTGCAATGGATTGGTGATGTCAATGAAGATTTGTAAACTTTTTTGATTTCTTGCATCACAAAAGATGTTCTAATGTAATATTGGGTGTTTCCCCCCCTCCTTCACTTTTGAGGCCACTCGTAAACATACTGTGGAAATAAATATTTAGTTGGAAGTCATTCATTCTTGTTTTTTTTTGAACTGCATTCACTTGAAATATCTATTTGAGAACACTAATGGAGGAAATAGTAATGGATGTAATAGTAATGGATGTGGTCAGAACACTGATTTTTGTGCTCCTGGGCAAAAGCACTTATGGGCAAATGGAAGACCCATGGATTAGTATTCTGGAGCTTTTGCCTTGATTTACTTTGATCTGGGAGTATCTATGTTTTCCATTTGTTTAGTGGGTGGATTGTTACGGTGGGGTCCATAGTGAGATAGACTTTACAAGACTTTGGAAAGAACAGCTGGATCAAACCGTCTGTTCCCATTCCTTGCTTTTGTTTTATTTATGTGTTCTAAACTCAAATTATTGAGTAAAACCTGATTGTACTTATTCTTCAGATGACAAATCCTGCCATACAGAATGACTTCAGTTACTACAGGAGAACTTTAAGTCGCATGAGGATCAACAACGTTCCTGTAAGGCCATCTACTCTACAGAATTCACATTTGGGATATTTTCACTTGCTTATGAATTGCTCTGAAGGGTTGAATTCAGTAGAAACTAATAATGTAGTTTGAGGAAAGAATATTTTGTGGAATCCTGTAGCTCAGTGGTTAGTGCATTCGCCTTGCAAGCGAGACACCTAGGTTTAATTCCCGGCAGGGCGAAATCTTGTTAATAATCCCTCCAAAACAAAGCAATAATAAATTGGTCATTTTCAATCTACGACTGTTTGTGGGACACTGCTGTGCACAATTGGCTGCAGCGTTTCGCCTACAAATATACAGTCAATTCACTTTACAGTCTATTCTGTGAAGCGCTTTGAAACGTCGAGAAGACGTGAAAAGCGCTATAACAAATGCAAAGAATATTATTATTATTTCCATCTAAAGAGTGCACAGCTTGATCACTTCCCATATATGGACAAAAAATAACCTGGCCTCTAGTTCTCTTTGAACTTGATGCATTTATTCCTTTGAATTAAAGCTGTAAAACAGTGACTCGTTTTAGTTTGAAGTTGCTCCAAAAATATTGTCTAAGTTTGATGGTATGGCATGTCTTAACAAGGTTTGAATATACTAAGCTGAGGCAAAAACTGTTTACATGAAATTCATATCAACCATATCAAATCCATAGAAGCATAGTTTGGTTTGCTGAGTCAGTGCTTGCAGCAAGGGCTTTGATTCAATGCTAGAGTTGGATCTTGGGTCTGGTGGCGGTTTGTATCGGGCCACGTTTAAGATCAAGCCACATGAGAAAGCAATCCTGAAATGAAATAACTCAGATGGATGAATCACTTTATCTAGCTGTGTAACATGTCTCAGGCAGTGAAGAATGGATCATGGACTGGATGGCAGGAGATTTGAAATGTACCTCACACTGGCCTTAGCCAGGTTGTTTCCAGTTTGGGAGGTCATTTTCCATCCATGCAGTGACTTAGACATGACAACTTAATCAAAAGACTTGGAATTTATTGATTTACTTGGTGCTAGTTCTGCTCTCTTAGATAATTGTCATCTTTGAAAGAAATTTAATTTATTGCCTTCACAAAGGATATTGTTAAATTCTATAGGTTGATCCAGGTTGACCAAATATTAAGGAATCCAGTCACTTTAATGGGGATTAGGCAGCTCCATTTGGGTATGCATTGCCTACATGAAAATTTGTCTTATTTCGATGCAATTTGTGTGAGGCACTGTGTTAAGTGTTTTTAGTTACTTTGATGTGAAGTTCAGGTTGTGTACATAACCAGAAGTACTGTATTAAGTAAAGATTAATTATATCAAATGTCTTTTCTTTATAAACAGGCAGAAGGAGAAAATGAAGTAAATAATGAGCTGGCCAATAGAATGTCTCTGTTTTATGCTGAAGCAACGCCAATGCTGAAAACCTTGAGTGATGCCACAACAAAATTTGTTTCAGATGTAAGTTTAATGATGCACCCTGATGTGTTCACAGCTGAAGTGGAGAACAAAGGTTTCCCCATTCTGTCCTGCACATTGTCTGGAAATACTGCAAGATTTAATGTTAGCTTGAATGGAATTCATTGTAGATTAAGTTATATCCTGTACTTTAAAGCACTTCATTAACTGGAAGAAACTTTAGATCAAAGGTTACATAGTTTGTTGTATTAATCCATTCTTTATGGAGGTGATCAATAATGATTTTTCTTCTCTTTGTCTCATTCACTTTGTTTTTATCCTCCTTGAAGAACAAGTCTCTACCAATAGAAAATACCACTGACTGCTTAAGCACTATGGCAAGTGTATGCAGAGTCATGCTGGAGACACCGTAAGTTGGACATATAGTTTCTATTGGTATTTATTTCAGTTGGAGGAAAATATATAAAAAATGTAGCAGAGATTTAGTAAATCAGTCAGACCTTGTTCTATCATGCATGGTTTAGCTCCATTAAATCAAGTTATACTAAATCCACCGTTTGGCATTTACAAGTTGGCAAGTTACCAATGACATCACCGCCGGTCTTACCAAATTGGTAGCATTACTTGCAAATGTTTCCAGAGGATGCAGGGAGGCTCTTTGCTACCTTTTTTACCTCTGGAAAGAGGGTTCAGATCCAGCTGAGATCCATGAAGTGTAAAGTCACCTTCCTAAACATTTAGTGCAATCTTACCAATTTCCATTGGGTCAGCACTTGTTTCACAGATGTGCGCAGCATTAGCATCTGAGATCTGACATTTCTCATGGTCTTTGCCTTCAGAAAATTGTCTCAATATATCCCAGTTATTATACAACATGGAAAGCTTGTTGGTTGGAGAAATAGTTTCACTTCAAATGCATAAAACCTATTATTATCATGTATGCGGATGACACCCAACTCTATCTCTCTGCCTCCACCCTCGCCTCCAGGACACTGATGTCCTGACAGAATGTCTGACAGATATCAAGTCCTGGATGAGAGCCAACTTTCTACAGTTGAAGTCAACAAGACCGAGGCTCTCCTGAGTGGCTCCCGTCAGCGGCTCCACACCTCAGGCGCTGGCAGCATCACCATCCAGGGATGCACACTCCACCTCACTGAGCCAGTCCGGGACCTTGGCGTCTTGTTTGAGCCTCAACTTTCCTTTCTACCCCACATCACCCGGTTCCACCACTACCTCTCCCCTCAGGCTGCTGAAACCCTTATCCACACGTTCATCACATCTAGCCTCGACTACGCCAACCTCCCTGCTTGTCGTCCTTCCCAATTCTTCCCTTCACAAGGTGCAGATCTTCCAGGACTCTGCAGCTTATGATCTCTCCCACAACAGGCTCTGTGACCCCATCACCACCACCCTCGCCTGGCTCCACTGGCTCCCCATCCCCATCTACTTGTTTTGGAAACAACATTAAGAGATCTCAGTAGGAATCTACAGGCTTAGGTATGGGCAGATATCCATATTATCGTTTACAGTGAGTTTAAGTTTACATTGTGAATCAACAGTAATTTGTATTTTCTGATAAGCATACTCATTATGTATATGATTTTGACATTTACAACACTTTAATAATAGAGAGGGTCCAGAATACACATAATCTGATTTGCCTCCTTCTGGAGTCCTGTACCTCAGTGGTTAGAGTGCTTGCCTCACAAGCAAGAGACCTGGGTTCGATTCCCGGCAGTGCGAAACCGTGAGCAAGTTTCCTTACTCCACACGCCTGATAATAATCCCTCAAGAAAAAAGAACCGTAATAATTTGGTCACTCAATCCACGACTGTTTCTGGGACTGTTGCTGTGCGCAGTTGTCTACCGCGTTTCGCCCACAAAATAGTCAATTCACTTTACAGTATATTGTGTGAAGCACTTTGAGATATCTAGCAGACGTGAAAAGCACTATATCAAATACAAAGATTATTTTATATGCACATATATATATATCCCCAGAGAATAGAGTTCAAAATCCTCATCCACGCCCTCAAGGCCCTGCACAAACTTGCCTCTCCCTACCTCCACCACCTGCTAACCCCACATCGACCTATCTGCTCCCTCTGCGCAGCAGGTTGTGGCCTGCTCCACGTCTGCCGCCCCACCATCGCAGTTAGGCCTGCAGCCTTTCTGCCCCCACCCTATGGAACTCCATCCCACATTCCCTTTGCCTCGTCCCTCCCTTCCCTCCTTCAAGGCACATCTCAAAACACTTCTCTTTGATTGAGCCTTCAGCCACCCTACCCTCTCTGCCCTCCACCCTCCCCGATCCCCAGCTCGGGTGCAAATTACTGACTGTCCAGCAACTCGGGACATCCCCCCAATTTGAAAGGCGCTGTACAAATATAATTTTGTTGTTAAAATGAATGGACTTTTAAAGTCGGATTTTAATGAGGAATACCTATAGCAAAATCATGTATAATAAATACCCACCGATTAAAATTTTAAGAAGGATTGAATGAGTGTTACATTGGCAAAAGGGCCCAAAAAAATTTATCAAGAAGGCTTTAATTGAGAAATAAGATCAAATTTTAGTATTTACCCGCTGCATCTAATTGTGAGAGTCAAAGATTGAGATTATAAATATTGGTGGATTCAATAATTTAATTTTAACTTTTGAAGAGTTGATTCTTATTGTTATGGTTGCAATCACGTTGGCATAATGCAGGACAATATAGTTTGTAGACTATTATATTAATGCTTTTCAAACAGTGCAGAGTAGATATTTAAGCACTCTGGGACTTTACCCTGCCTGAGGGGTGCTGTGTAAATGCAAGTTGTTGTTGTTATAATGGAGCTCTAATGAAGCTTTCTACTAACTAGCTTACATTCTGAATGTAAAGGCAAAGTGAAGGAATGAAAAGAGGCTCGTCACTTGTGGTTGAGTTGACACCAACTTTTTCCACTAGATGTCACAAACTCACAAATTATCAAGACATCGGACTGTTTTACAGTAAACTGTGTGTAGATTGTTGTATCTATTTACACCTCAAATGCTTTTAATGAGCATAAAAATAAATAAACAAATAATACAATAATAATTTGGTCACTCAATCCACGACTGTTTGTGGGACACTGATGTGCGCAATTGGCTGACGCATTTTGCCCACAAATATATAGTCAATTCACTTTACAGTCTATTCTATGAAGCGCTTTGAGACGTCCAGAAGATGTGAAAAGCATTATATCAAATGCAAGGATTATTATTATTTTCACAGTTAGACCGGTTCTTCTTTCTTTCCCACCCCATCCCCCTGAACACGTCCCGCCTTGACTACGCCAACTGCTTGCTAACTGGACTTCCCGACTCTTCCCTCCATAAGCTGCAGTTTATTCAGAACTCTGCAGCTCATGTCCTCTCCCCTCCAGGAACCTATCAGCCCGTTCTTTCCTAACTTCACTGGCTCTCCTTTCCTCAGAATCGAGTACAAAACCCACGTTTTATCTTCAAGGCTCTCCATGGTCTTGCTTCTCCCCTACCTCTCTGACCTCATAACCCCATATCAGCCTCTCCTCTCGGTGGACACCAGCCTGCTTCAGGTCCCCCGCACATCTCACCCCATCATTGGCCATTGGGCTTCAGCATCTCTGTCCCCACACTCTTGAACTCTATCCCACAATCCCTCCACCTCACCCTCTTCTCTTGCCTACTTTGAGTCCCACCTTCCTCTTCGATCATGTCTCCCACCCCCACCCACCCTGCTCTGCTCCCCTTCTGACCCCAACTCCCAGCTCAGGTCCAAAATCCCTGATTGTCCAGCTCCCTGGGACGTCTTTCTGACGTGAAAGGCACCATACAAGTGTAAGTTGTTGTTAGTTTTAGCCATGTTGCCCTCAGCTTCTAGAACTCTCTTCCTTAATCCCTTCATCTCGCTTGTTCCCTCTTGTCTTTCAAAACACATCTATAAACCTATCACTTTGACTGCATTTCAGCCAGCTCTCGCCTGACTTTTCCTATCTCCCTCGTAGCTTGGGCTCTTGCTCATGATTGCCAAAAAATTGAAAACTTTTTCCTTGTGTGAAAGACGCTACTTAAATGCAAATTGTTGCACATTTGTAATTTCTTTTAGAATTTGCCTTGTGGAAGAATGTGGGGGTAAATCCTAGTTGTATTTTTGACAGAAAGCCTTTCTTTAATCCACCTGTCAGAAATCTACCTGTTTTAATGATAAGAGGAGTGAAGCCTGGGGTGGGGATTGTTTGTTCATTTTGCTTCACTGTGAAGATGGAAATGCTCCTGCCAAAATTCTGAGCTATTCAAATCTCAGATATCCTGTCGCCTGCACAACAGTACAGGAGCTCGGTTCAAATCATCACACCGATGGCAACCTTGGGATATATTCCCAGTTTGTAATAATGAATAATCCTTGCCTTTAATACAGTGCCTATAATGGCGAAACGTCTGAAAGTGGATTTGAAAATTGTAGCCACAAAAATAAATATCCAAACGATTTCTTTCCTGTACAGGGAATACAGGAGCAGATTTGCAAGTGAAGAAACGGTATCATTTTGTCTGAGGGTGATGGTGGGTGTCATCATTCTTTACGATCATGTGCATCCTGTTGGGGCATTCGCAAAGACATCCAAAATCGATGTGAGTTTATCTGACTGTATAACTAGCTGTTGGCAAGACATTTATTTTGGGGGGAATGTCCGGTAGGCCGTTTGTGGCAGCTCCAGCAGGTAAATCATTCCCTTCTAGATTAATGCTGTAATCATATAAAATATATTTACAGTTAATTGAAAATAAACTAGGCTTCAAACTATGCATCACATATATCTGGAAATGTATTTACAGATTAGCAATTAAATTAAGGTTCTAAGAGTAGCCCTTTGTATATATTAATGCCTCACATATGTGCTCTGTATATAAATTAGTATTTTTTTTTCTACAGATGAAAGGTTGCATAAAAGTCCTAAAGGATCAGCCTCCAAATAGTGTAGAAGGCCTTCTGAATGCTCTCAGGTATTTATTCTGTTTCCAGATTATTATCTGTTTTTGATTTGAGTCAACAGTTTTACGTTCACACTGCCTTATGATTCAGGTGGACATTAAGAAGGTAAACCCTACTACTCTTTCTGAGAAATCTCAAAGTGGAATTCAAGATTGTAGCCACAGAAATAAATACCCAAGTTATTTATTTCCTGTAGAGGGAATACAGGAGCAATTTGGAAATGCAGAAACTTTCTCTCCCAGTTGCCTTGGCTTATATTAACCCCTCATCTAGATTCATTCCAAAATAAAATCGATTCATATATCCAAACTCATCTCATATATATACATATATATATATAAAATTAGCCATTGTGTTTGTGTAAGTAATGTTATTTTAATTTGATCGCATTTGATAAAGTACTTTGAAAAATTATTTTGTGTGCATTGTGCTATTTTAATGCAAGTTGTACATGATTCACATACTATGAACATTTTCTGAAAGATGGAATTTGTTAGTAAGGTAGATTGAGGTTTTCAATTGACCTATAGTCAATTGTTTGATAAACCTCTTCCTGTGCATTGTCCAACATTTTAATGGTGCTCTGTGTACTCTGAGAAGATTGGTATAATGGTGTAACCAAATACCCTCTTATTTTCTAAAACCATTTTGTCAAATTTTTACTTCAATTTTCTGTCTATTGTTCAGGTCAAATGGTCAAGTTTTATTTTTCCTTGAATGAAATAAAAAGTATTGTATATACCATTGTGTTTTAATAGTAAGGGTGTGTGTCTTATATTTGCTGATCTCACCAGTCTAAATATTATTTTACCAAAAAGCATATTTTATTGAAGCATATGCACTTTGCCAATTTAGGATTGAAAAATATTTATATACATTGCAATATATCCTTGAGCTTAACATTTTGTCCTTGAGCGAAACACCGACTGTCCAGCGCCTTGGGATGTCCTCCCAACGTGAAAGGGGCTACACAAATGTAATTTTGTTGTTAATATAAAAATTTCACAATGCGACTTCTGCTCTCCAGGTACACCACCAAGCATTTGAATGATGAGACTACCTCCAAGCAAATAAAGACCATGTTGCAATAAAGCTTAGCAACGTAATCGGCTGCAGAGGACAGTATTCTGCAATGTTTGAGATGCACAGATATGTTTTTAATGTTTAAAGAATGCAGAATGCAACTGCTTTATTTGTTTTTTTTAAATCGTGTTCCTGCTCTTAAAAATAGCTAAACTTATTTTCTGTGCCAAACTCTTAAAACTTGATACATCAATGTGCAAAAGTGTTTACTTCATTTTCTGTTTGAATGAATGAATGAATGAATGAATTAATGAATGAATGAATGAATGAATATACGAATGAACAAATGGATGAATGAATGACTGGCCATGGAACACATTGGCAGCTACTGTTCACAAGTTAAGTTTCTCTATATATGTAAAGAGATTCAGTAACTTGGCCTAAAAGACAAAGAAAATCTGTTTTGTTTCTATTGACTAATATTTAATACCGCTTCTTCTGCATGACAAAACAGCTTTCTCATGCCCTGTTAAAAGTTTAAAAAGTCATTTTCTATCGCAGCGTTATCATGTGCAGCCATTAAAAGTGAGAATGAACAGATGTTATGTTAAATTAACTATATGTTTTATTGTACAAAAAGGTACTGAGCACACCGGACTACAAATTATAATACCAGTCTGTTTTGTTAATACTTCGGTTTGCATTGACTCGTTTTGTACGAATGTATGTAAGTTTAACATTCATTAAACTAACGTTAAACTGTGATGTGTGCGTAACTCATGCGTATGCATGTACATGTAAATGAACAGTTGTTGATCAAATAAAATCAGCTTTTGTTTTTCTAAAACTTGACTTTGTGTTTGGAGATTTGGAACATTTCAGTATGTGTTACAATAACCTCACCTCACAGTGAATATCAAGCTTCCTATGGGAAATTCTATTCAACACTAGGAGTACTACTGTGGAGTCCTGTAGCTCAGTGGTTAGAGCACTCGCTTTGCAAGCGAGAGTCCTGAGTTCAATTCCAGGCAGAGGGCGAAACCTTGGGCAAGTTTCCTTACTCCACACAGAGCCTAATAATAATCCCTCCAAAAAACAAAAACAATAATAAATTGGTCATTTTCCATCCATGACTGTTTGTGGGACATTGCTGTGCGCAATTGGCTGCCGCGTTCGCCCACAAATATACAGTCAATTCACTTTACAGTGTGTTCTGTGAAGCGCTTTGGGACGTCCTCCCGACGTGAAAAGCGCTATATCAAATGCAAGGATTATTATTATTACTTATTGGTAACCACTTTTGTGAGAAACTTTAAAAAAAACTGCAGCGATATAAATAATAATCCTTACATTTGATACAGTGCCTTTCATGTACAAAGTGCTTCACAAGATAGACGGTATGGTGTAGTGCCTCTGTACCTTTTGAGTAAACACAGCAGCCAATTTGCGCACAGCAACATCCCACAGTCAATGCCACTCCTCCTGATGCCTACAGGGGTGCAATGAAGTGGTTTTAAATTATATAGACTCAGACATTGCCAAAGCTCTTAATTTATTCCCAAACTCCAGAATTAAATTACTGCTTTCATGGAGATTCAGGCACGGGCGTGGAATGATGTGTAGGATGGCTTATTTAAAAAGCAACTTTGATTTTAGAAAGAAAAACAATTGGATGTAATGCAGACTGAAGATTGTGCACTGGGCAAACTGCTGGAGTTCACCATTCCTGGCCTTTTATAAAGATCAGTTGTGTTGCTAATATTTTTTTCAAAAATAATCACCATTGATTTCAAGGGTCTTTTCTCTATTATCCAGCAGATGGTGCACTTTAATAAAATATCATGTGTTCAGGGCTACTGTGTTTTGTTCAGCAATAATTCAGAGGAAATGCAAGTTACCCAGCACACTGAACATGCAAAGGGTAATAAGGGCCCTATTCTTTCTATCTTCCACAAATTTGGATGCCACTTACTGCATGAAGAGAAATGCAATCAGGAAGACACAGCAGCTTAATAATAATTTACACTTGCACAGCACTTTTCACATCTGGAGGATATCGCAAAGGTGCTTCCCACAATTGAGCTGGGGAAGTAGGGGGGAGGTGGAAAAGAAGGTGGCTGAAAGCACAGGCAAAAAAACTACAGATCAATTTAAATTTGAGTTATTTGACTTCAGCACTGATTGTCTGTCAGCACTGAATAGTTTGTGCTCGTGCATTAAAAATGATCACTTGAGACATGTGCCAGAGATAGCTGCTGTCCATGCAGTAGTACCCTTGCAAGATTTGGTACTGTCAGGAGAGGAAAGGTTGAAATAAAGATATGTTGAGTCAATATTCAAATTCATTTTTGACAGTCAGAATGTTTTTGAATTTGGCGCATTGATGTATTGCCTCAAAACACTAAATATTATTCATCTGTTGATGCTTTTTACCTTTTTCCATAGTAGTAAAAGTTTCACTAAAAATTGAAATGTATTTTTCAACAATTCAATTTCAACAAAGATGACCGCATTGTCATCTTTTTAGACATTAGAAGTTTTCACACTCCTTCCTGCACACATGAAAGAAGCAAGATTGCTTGTATCTCTTTCCTCTGTTTTTTTGTCTCCAGTTTTGATAATCTCTTCTCTTTGCAGATTTCTGCCTCCTATTTCTGTGCTTCCTCCCCCATCTGTATTCCAAAATGTCAGGTTTGTTAACAGTTAAACTCAAATTATCTTGATATGATTATTTGTGTATGCGGTGGAGAGAAGGGAATATATGACAATCATACCAATCACCCATTTGCCCACAAAATAAACAGTGAATTCACTTTACAGTATATTCTGTGAAGCGCTCTGAGACGTCTCGAAGATGTGATAAGGCGCTATATCAAATGCAAGGATTATTATTATTCCAATGTCAAATCCCTCCCCCACCATATCCAGATCTCAAGCTCAATACAACATCTGTTACCTCACTGAGATTTCTCCAACAGGGCCAGATTAAGGGATCTGGAGACCCTAAAACTGATCACGTTTGGGGCCCTTTGTATTATGCACGCAAAATATGCAACAATACCTTTTTAAGATACTTCCTTGCATGACTTCATAGTTGCAAACATCATTACATGATCAAAACTTAGTGTACATGTCAAATCGTGCTCGATAAACACGATTTGCATTCAATCTATTCCGGGTCAGTGTAGATCTGAGTGAGGTTATGATGAGATTCATCTTTGAGAACAAGAATGAGCTTTACAGACTGTTATTTGTTGTGTTAAGAGCATACGAAGAGCAACTACCACGTTTAGAAATGTTGACTTCAAGTGATTCCATTTAATATACTATGACCTCGGGGCATAGTTTACCTGGTTTATTGGTTAATCCAGTACTGCTCTTTGATTATATCTGTGATTGAGGTGAGGGGAAATTCCCTTTGCACCAGCTAAACAGCATTAGAGTCCCCCACTATGGGAAAATCAGGTCCAAATTGTTTGTGAACAATGTTCTTACCTTTGTCTTGCAATCTGGTAATGAAGTATGACAGTGACCTAATGCCATGCTCCTCAGTTTGTAATAGTTAGAAAGAAACAAATTGCATTTTTATAACACCTTTTTACATTGAAATGCTTCAAAGACTAATTTAACAATGTAGAACCAGTGACTTTCCTTTTTCTTTTGCCTAATTTAGCCATTTTAATTCTTTTTCTTTTTAAATATGTGAATTAAAAAAAGCATGGCTTTGAAATAAATTGATTTAGAAGAGTGATATTTACCCCGACCCTCTTTCTGTATTAGTCCATCCTTTGGGTGTATTACAAAACAATAGTTTTTATACATAATTGATTGCCACAGTTTGATTCAATTTTAGAATCTGTGTTTTGAGCTTAGCTTTGAGTCGAACTATAACACATTCTGCTCCACCATCAGCGGCTGTGCTTTCAGTCAATACGCTCCAAAGCTCTGGAATTCACTCCTCCAATCCCTCCGCCTTGCAGCCTTCCTCCCCACCTCCAATTTGGTATATGGCCCATTAAATGCCCTCTTTCAGGAGAGGTAAGTACAGTCTTTTCACCACTGAGCTGACCCCAAGGTGACGTGCCTAACATCGGAATATTCAAATTGGGTCAATCCTCTGTGGCGGTCTTAGTAGTTTGATTTCTGAGTCAGGCAGGTCTGCAAGTGCCCCATTAATAAGAACATAAGAAATGCTCGGTGAAAAAAGACCATCTAGTTCGTCTTCCACCTTCCTAGTGGTCACATGCACATATGCCCCGAACTACCTACGTACTATATCCCATAATATTATTTCCTAAAACTATCTAATCTGTGTTTGAAAGAATCAACACTTCCTGCTTCAACCATCTCCCCAGGGAGCCTGTTCCACAGGTTCACTATTTGCTCACTGAAATAGCGTTTCCATAAATTCATTCTGAATTTAGTTCCCATATGACAGACCAGCCAGAACGGATCAGCAACAGGACTTGGAGAGCAGACCAGTTACTGAGGGCATGGATTCTTCCCCTTCGGCTCCTGTTAAAGATGCAAACCTAACAGATAGGGTAGTCTTAGCTGGACAAGCAGTGGGAAGCTTTCCAGACAATGTCCACAATGCTAACCAGGTGTTTTAGCTGATTAAACTCCAGCAGTACCTCAACACATACTCTAGGGTTTCCAAGCCTTGGCTCTCACCAACCCTGAACCTAATACTTTCTGGAGTTGGGTAACATAGGGTGTGCTCTCTGGATAGAGAGTATGCACATCATTCCTGCCAAAAAAAATCACCATGTGGTGCACCATGCATCATGCAGAACGGGCTTGAAGGGCTGAACAGTCTCCTTCTGTTCTTATGTTATAAGTGGAACCTTCAGTCTGGTTTGGTTGCTCTAGTCTAAAGCATGTTGATGGGTTTTCATGTGTTTCAGATCCCTGGCTGACCAATAAAAAACATTATCATTTGCACCATATGTAGGAGGGAGTATGTTAGGGGTGTGATCCTCTCCACTAACATTAGGTTCAGGCTGGCCTCTAACGGATCATTCCAGTTTGACTCTCATGACAGGACTGTTTCACAGTTTGATTTTCAACATCTTTTCTCCGTTTTCCATATCCTGTCATTACCTCAGTGAAAGGCGTTCTTTCTCAGCCTGAGAACAATTAGTTCCTTTTACCCCCCTCTTCCTCCCCTTCTCATTTCCTCTTAGCTGCCCTGTCTGCTGGTGCTGACTAATAGAAACAGCTGACAGGAAGATGCTGACATTGCATGCCCCCCGCCATTTACACTGGGGAGATGGAGCGTTGGGCTGCTGCTCAGTGCTGACTGGTTTGCTATGATCAGCTGATGATGCCATAATAAGGCATTGCTGGATTCTCTCAGTGAAAGCTTTGTATTCAGAACAGTTGCTGCTTTTTTCTGCACATTAGCCTAATGCTTTCCACATTTCCCTATCTTACTCACTGAGAAGGCATTGCCGCTCAATTTCCAGACTTGATCCCATTTGTTATTTTAAGATTGAAAGAAGCAACAGTTTTCTTCTAAGAAAGTAATGAGAACCAAATGAATCTTAAAGGTGGATCTGTCCAGAGCGATGCAGAAGGAAAAACATAAACCCAATTTCTGAGCAAAACCCGTTCAGGAGTCAAACATCTGGGAAACTGAGCAGTTAGTGTGATTTTGAGGTGCTGGGTGAGATCAAGAGGTCACAAGATCAAAAGGCGTTGTATTGTCCTTCCTCCTAGCCTCTTGGAGCATTTCCATAATCCTTGGAACAGTTCAGATTGTTGCTAATAGTAACGACATCTTTCTGATGCCACTCACGGCAGTACAAAGACCATGCTGCTCCGAGCAGCAGCTGAATGCGTTTG